AATGCATACAATTTTTATAGAAAATGGTATAGGTAGGTAGATAAGTCGGTGGGAGTTAGGTAGTGGACAAGAGCAAGTTCATTTATTATAAAGGAAAAAAAAAGAAAATTTGACATTTCTTTTAAAAAGTCATGGAACTAAAGCACAGTAGGGAAGAGACATTTTTGATTTTTGTTTTGTTTTACGCTTTATGGTCCGAATATACATACGTTGTTCTGTTAAGAAAAAGTAAATTAATATGAAAGATAAAATAAATATAGACTAATCGGATACTACGGTAGGTCAAGAAACACAAGCATTCTGTTTCATAAACAAAAAAACACTTTTTAATGCAATAAACCCTTGTTTGCAAGTTTTACAACACACGTGTGTAGGCAAAGCTATGTAAATAATTTCGATCATTTTTGCATCCAATGGCCCTTTAGGCTTATGACAGGGCGATGTTTATGCAAAATGCGCCCACGCGGCATTGGCATGCATCTGGGGCTGATAAATAAGATCAGCCGGTCCACCCACCAGTCCCGAGTCTACAAGAAGCTTCTACGAAACACCTTGCAGGTTTGACTTAATTGAAACCTACCTTTAATTTATAAACAACTCGTTCAAATTGAAACTTACGTCATATGAAAATATGTTTATTTCTTATCGAGTTCTTAGGTTTTCGCGATTGTTACATATTGGCAATGAAACAATTTTTTCGGACCTTGACGGCGCACCTATTTTTTTTAAGCAACCCAAGATTTAAGCCTTTTTACAGGTCGCTTGGACACGGCTGATCGTAAACAACCCAAACCGTTGCTTTGTTTGAAAAAACAAATAAGCGATTCAGGTGTAAAAAAAGAATTTTATTTAGGGAACGAAATCTTTGTTTGAGGACTGCGGCAGTAATAAATGAAGATAAAAAACAATTGGTAAAGACTACGCGCTATTAGTGACTCGGCGGCTGATAATGAACTTGAATTATCATTTTAAAAATTTGTTGGTCTCGTTTGAAAGTGGTATAGACAGAAATAGACACTGGTTTCTTTTAATTATTTCATTACAAGTATGATGTCATCAGTACAATAATTATTGAAACCTTTTTCAAGTTGCTAGTGAACATTAATCTTAGTTAATGAATTACACAGGTTTAAACGAATTAGTTGCTTTACGATTAAAGTATGTAAGAAATAAACCAATTTATTACCCGTAACGAACATGTACGAATTTCAAAGTCCAACCAACAGCTCGCTTTTGACTTTGAATCGCCTTATTGTAAGTAGCATAGAGATTAGTTTAAATGTAAACGGAAACATAGGAGTACATAGGAGCTTAACAAAAGTAATTTTTTGAAAAAGTGCCAACTTATCAGATTAAATTTGAGTCCAATATTTTACAAAACTTTGTTGGTAATTTTCTACTCGGTAGTGAATGGAATTTATACATTATACACTATAAGGAATTTATATATTGTACTAATATAAGAAAAGGTAATTTACACATATAATTATATAAAGCTTTACAGGTGATCTTTTTTGGAAACTGGTGCTTACTTGTCAGTACAAAATTTAAATACAACATTTTTAACGTCAGCGACCATTTATGGATTCAGTTGTCAAGTAAAGACACTGAGTATTTTGAAAAATACTTAATTTTATATGCAAAGTAATAAATTGTATATGTAGAGTCGAGGTTGAAGTCCTAGTTGAATAATCTTTATTGCATTGATAAGCAAATTACACTCTAGAGCTCATTCGTAAAAATTCGTTCCCTGAGAAGAATGACCAAGAAATTCACGAGTTGCTTTTTATAAATAAATATTTGTACACTATCGTAAAATATTTATTTCAAACATCATAGATCTACACAACCTGCAGGAGTTGAATGGGCCACTCCCACGGATTTTTATCATGCAAATACGCAGAAGCTGTATGTATAAAGTTATTATTTCACTATAGTTTTAAACTTCGTCAATGGCAAATTTTAAATATCAAGTGGTATCTTATTATAGAAGCGTAAACATTGCCCCTTGAATGAATTTGTGACTTTGTGAAAACGACTATCAGGAATAGCCAGTTTGTTTTTATTCCTTGTATTAATATTATATACGCTACTATTTTTCGCAAAAAACTGTTCTTCTTATTTTTAACATAAATCACATTCTTATAAAATGTTTCTTTAAACTCATCTCACAAAGCCATTCTGAGGCCCAGTTTGTATATTGCCCTAATTGCGTATTTTTGCAGCACAAACATACTATCATCTACTATCATCGGCGGCATTATCCCAAAGCAAAAAAAGTAGCTGATGTAAACCACTCTAGGTGTATTTACGTCCGAGAGTGCGTATGGTTAATAAAATCTGTAGACAAATATGTTTTTCCGTACAGAATATCTTCGTAATAATGTCTTATTTAGAGATAGATTCACAAAATTATATACTAATTACTAGTTTGCATAAACTACCTCGTATGTACATATTAATGATTTCCTCAGTGTGTAAATAATTGCAAAAGTACCACACTAGACATCTTAAGGAAAACTTGTCTTTTATCTATTCTTAATGATGATCCATAATTCGTTAACCACCGACAATATTGTACATATAACGTAATTTATTTTTCGATAACTTGCGCCCTATCTTACTAATATTTTATGTGATTTTTAAAGTTTTTCGAACAGACTTAGACTGTATTTTAATTATGTTCGAATAGGTCAAACGGGTGGATAGATTGGTAGAAAAATCGGTAGTTCTTTGTTTTGTTTTTGCGAAGGAAAAACCATACTGCAATCCGACCAAGACGTCCCTTCAATTTTTTTTTATACACTATTTAATTATCATTATCGTCATATTTCATGCAGTATACTTATGCTCTGCTGCGTACGGCTGAACTAAACTAAAATATAGGGATATTATTATTATTAACGCGGGTTGAAGATTTCATTTGTTTTCGAAGGGTGTTGTGAATCGTCATCGATATGCAGGATATATTATCAGTGTATTTTTCTAGACTTTTAATTAATTTAAGAATTTTAAGTAAGTTCTGGTTATTAATTAGTATGTAGTTTATATAATATGTAGATTTTTTATTATTGAAACGATCGAACAAAACAAAGAAAGCTTTCGTTCGAATTTCGTCCGAATTTCGTCTGGATACGAACCAGCGTCTGTCGCCTCAACATGCCTACCGCTCTTACCAATCGAGGTTGGAGATCTTACGAATTTCTCTATGTGCTTGTTGCAGATCTTTCTATTAGATTTAAACGGTTTTTTTACCGCAGCGCCACGTGAGAGAACTTATGAAAGTTTCTTCACTTTTTTCAACTTCACTTCACACAAATTGTCATTAATTTTTTTATGATACCGAGCGGAAGGAACGGACAAGTCGTGCGCCTGTTGGTAAGCGACGTGTCCATAGCACTTGCAGTGCCAATCAGAGCTTTAAATCGCAAAGACTTAAGGTGCACCGCGACCGCGCCCGTCACTTGAGACATAAGTTAATAAGTCTTATGTGCCTGTTTCACTTCTGGATCCTAAAGAGACGAAAAAGATGCCAAGGTTGACAAAAGAAAAGATGGAGAGATGTTTTCACAGAAAAAATCAGACCGGAACTTTCGAACCATTCCTTTCTTTTTCTCGATTTAGTCATCCATAACTAAATTGAGAGAAAGGGAAGAATGGAAATATTTAGGGGAAACTTACGCCGCAGAGGTGACTAGTATATGCAGTAATAAGTTTAAGTTTTTTCTTTTTCCTTTTTAAAAATGTATATGATGTAATGTAGTACAAATAAACGCTATATGTTTTATGTTATTTATTTTATGTGCCTGTAATTTCACCAGCACCCTTACCCTTCGAAACTGGAACACAGTAATACTCACATTACAGCTCGGCGACAGAATTAGTTAAGGTGGCAGTACTTACCTAGGTGAACTCTTTCACAAGGAGCTCTACTCCTACTAAAACTTTTACTGTTAAAAACGAACTATTTCTGGGTCTAGAAGTAAATTGTCAGCTAAAAGCTATTGCGTGTGTTGCCGGATACCTGTATAATATCAGGTTATAATAGTTCGTAGCAAAACCAGTTTTATTTATATCCTAACACGAATCATCTATCTATGGCAATAAAGTGTCCACTTAAGCAACACAGGGACTTATTTGAATACTGATATTTATCAGAAACAAGATTTATAATATTAAAACTGCGTACATTGAAAAGTGGTTGTGTTTTGTGCAAAAAAAATGCTCTCGGCAAGGTACAATAAACTGCTGATCATATACGGAGTTTAATAAAAAATTCAATAAATAATAGTTAAATATAAACTTTGTGATTTTATCATTTAGTTTCACTGGATGTGTTAATTAAAAGGTTTTAGTTTGTATTGATAAATAATCGATTAATAATAAAATTATTCTTTTTTCTTTAAACTGTTTCAGAGTGGATTCAATCAGGATTCGATGTGTTCGAAGGAAGAAAGAAGTTATCGTCTCTGCCGTCTTTACCGCCGCCATACCATTATCACAAAAAAGTTAATGAAGACGACGATACACCAATAAATCTGTTCTTTCGTATTTCTCCCGTGAAGCAGTGATATGAGCGTTACTATGTTTCGGTTTTGAAGGGTAAGGGTGCTGGTGAAATTACAGTCAAAAGCTACTTTTCAAGTTCTGTCTCCGGGTGACGGACGCAGTGGCAGTGCCCTTCAGATCTTTGAGATTTAAGCTCTGAACGGTACTACAACTGCACGACTTATTCGTCTCATCACTTCGTGCCATAACCATGTATTAAATCTATCTCGACACTTAAAAATAATACAAAAAATTATATTTTATTTTATTAAAAGATCCTGCAGCACAGAGACACGCGTAGCACTATTAAGCATTGATCATAATGAATCAGCAAATGTCTTAACGTCTATTTTAGGCGGCAGGCTGTGTCCACGCAGTTTTCCATGTAGATCCTCGTGGCCCCCACTCCTGCGCACAAGGCACTTGTGTTTCCGCGAAGTAGTATAGCCTCACAGCGCATGCGACCGCGCGTGTTCAATCGACCGAATAAATACGAACCAATTATGATTTTTACGAACTTTTCTTAATGAAAAGTGCGACCAAAGTGTAATAAAACTTTTTCAGTGTTGTAGTAGTGTTGTGCCATATTACATTTTTTTATTCATTTGATTGTAGAGTGTTTTCAGTGCTGAAGTGACAGTTCAGTAAACAAGTGTGTTTGACCTTGCCGGCGTTAGAATTTCGACGAAGGTTAGTTTTGCATATTACAGTAAAATATAATTATTAATAAATAAAGTTTCCACGTATTTGTGTTAGTAAGTAACAGTTAGATGTAGTCATAGATTAGTTACGTCGTATAATGTCTGATAACATAAAATGTTGTTTTTTTCCCTAAAACAGCAGGATGTTTTGTTATTTTTATCAATACTTTTCGTTTTTGTCATAGTATCCGAATTCTTCTTTGAGATTTTACATTAACAACGTACTAAACTATAGCTCACAATAGTTTGATACGTTATGTACTGATTATGTTTAGACGTATTCCTGCCAATGTGAACAAATGTAGGACAAATAAAACATATTTTCCTAAAAACTTCAATTATGACTTTTTAGGAGATAGGTTTAGAGATTCTATGAACAAAATTAACAGATTACTTTTTAGGATTAAATAATTATGTATATATGTTCACTGTATTATAGGCATGTATTATTTTGTTATTATATCCTTTTTTTTGTAATGTTAAGTGACGGGACGAACAAGGCGTGGGCCTGATGGTAAGCTACACGCGTATCCATAACAGTTGTAGTGCCACTCAAAGCTTTAAATCGCCCTAAGACCCCTAAGACATAAGTTGACAAGTCCCATGTGCCTAATTGTGTAAATGTAATTTCACCAGCACCCTTACCCTTGAAAACCGGAACACTGTAATCCTGACTAGCGCTGACATTACTGCTTGCCGGCAGGAACAGGTAAGGTGGCAGCACTACCCTGGATGTACTCTTTCACAAGGAGCTCTACTGCTACTAAAATAGAAAATAAAATGCTTGTGCATTAATAATATATTTATATTCATGTATTATTTATATTATTTTAATATTCTTTTTTTCTCTCATTTTCTCGTATTGTTTTTCATTTAACAGAGACAGGATTATTATTAATTTGTTCTTGATTATTCATTTTGTTCATCGTAATTTTTGTTTTTATTTTTGATCAAGAATTATTTTCGTGGGTACCTGTAATTGGTCTATCCATAAAGTGCTAAACGTATGTTAAAGTTAAAATTGTATTATGGCTGTTGTTATCCCATGTAAAATAAAATAAAATTAAAATATGAGACTTATAAACCTTCACATATACATAATTGGTTTCATAAAATTCCTATTCTTTTTAGAACTTGCATGTGATAAAAAGACTTTTGACGTTAGACCACATGTGCCTTTATTATGACAAGGGTACAAATACATGATTTAAATAATAGCTACCTATAGAAAGGTTTAACATTAGATAAAATCTAACTATTTAACATTACATAATATAGTAGCAGTAGAAAGAGAAAGAGTTCATCCCGGGAAGTACTGCCACCTTACGTATTTCTACCGCCAAGCAGTAATGTTAGCATTACTGTGCTCGGGATTTCAAGGGTAAGGGTGCTGGTGAAATTACAGGCACATGGGACTTGTCAACTTATGTCTCAAGGTGACGGGTGTAGTGGCGGTGCCCCTCAGACATTTGCGATTTAAAGCTCGGAGTGGCACTGGAACAGTTATGGCGTGTACCACCAGGTGCACGACTTGTTCGTTCGTCACTTGATATTATATAAAAAATAAATAAAATAAAATAAATAAAGTTAGGAAATTTCCATAACACGGACTAGGTCGCAAAGGAAATTTCTTTAGCATTTAGAAATTAATTTATAGAATAATAACATTTTTCAACAATGAAATATTTTATTATTTTATTACATAAACATCAAAACAATGACGTAGGTATATAAAAATAAGGATTATTATAACTATGACATAAGAATGCAAATCGTACACTGTCAAGTGTAGGCGACAATTCGTAGTTAAACCAAATATTCACACATTAACATATCACCTTCAGCGTGATGAGATTTTGAATATTATTATTATGATAATTAAGATATGTTTTCAAATATTTCTGGTTTTCTTGGGTGAACTGAAATTAAGGTTAGAGACCCTTTAATGAAAGCGAGAGCTTATATGTAAGTAAATGGATAAATTACTACGAAGTTTGAGACTGATGGGAGTGAAGGAGGTAAAGTAGGTTTGTCAGGAACGTAGCAGGTGGAGGTCCCTGCTTACCCTACTTGCTCGGGGTATTTTGCTTCACTCTAAAAAATTTTTGAAAAATGTAGGACCAAATTGTTTGTTTTAATGATAGAAAATAGTTCTAGTTGTGTAACAATAGCTTTTACAATAATAAAACATTATCTTGTATATTTCACGTTTTTCTTCATGGGGTCTGGCAAAGAGAACATATAAAACTTTAATTTTTAATTTAAACTATCTAAATTTAAACTATTAGATTTGTATTAGCTGAATACGTCTGAACTTCAACTGCCTTTAAAATATCCCTCAAATAGAATAAACTTGTTTTGTTATCAGTATTTGATTATAAACAAAATCGACAGACTTTCCCTTGACGGATGTGGTGTCCAAAAAACTGTAGGCTTAGTGTGTGACAGGAAACAAAACAAGCAACTTAATTGCGTCATCCAAATTGCGTGTTGCGTTAAAACTTATAAAGATGGCAAGTGACATGTCTGCCCATGCCGTGCCAGTGTTTTAAATCGCAAAGATCTGAGGAGGTACTGCCATTGCGCCCGTCACCCTGAGATAGCTGATAAGTCCTATGTGATGTAATTTTATCAACACCCTTACCCTTTGAAACCGAAACATAATGATGCTCACATTGGCGGCTTGGCGGCAGAATTAATTAAGGTATACTGCTAATAATCCTTCATAGACTTCGTTTCTTGGATTTAACGATTTCTGCGCGTTATCTCTAGCATTTTTATTTTTCTGTAAGTATTTGCGTTTTAAAACGAACGGAAAATTTTTCTATATTTTATCACAAAATTAAGTTTACGAGGAATATATTATGACTGCTCTAGGAAGTAGGTTACTTAAGGTACAGCTAGCTAGTACTTACTTTTTGCTTAAGTATGACAAAGTTTCTACGAACAACTTATCAAGTACGGATATGACTCATATTATACTTGACAAAGAATTTCCTAATAAGCTTGCTTTTAGTTACGTGTTTTAATAAGTGATTAGGATATTTTTCGTTATGTTTTTACTACATTGAAGCCTAATATTAATGTAAGTTCTTAGACATTCTCAGCATTAGAATACTGGTTAATACGATACAATCGGCTAAACGCATAAGGCAAAGGACGTTCCGGTGGCGTTGATATATAGTCCGTATGACTCAGTGCTGCCTTTTAGGCTGCATGAAGTCGGTTTCGACTGCATGCAGTTAACGCGTGAAGTCGTTATCCGAGACCTCGACTGCATGCAGTTAATGCATGAAGTTCTTATCGACTTCATGCGGCCGTGATTGACCGCATGCAGTTAATGCGTGAAGTAGTTATCTATTTCACGCAGTCGAGGTCTCGGCTTCATGAAGTTAATTACGACTTCACGCATTAACTGCAAAAATGCAGTCAATCTGTTAGCAGCCTTAGTCATTGTTATTGCTAATTATCTTTCAACCTTTTTGACAGTGGTTTAAATTTCACAAGATTGACGTAGTTAAAAAAAAATTAAGTCAGGAAGACAATTTCAATATCATCGTAGTGTATTTGCCTTCTGCTATTAGCTTGCTGAATACAATGCTAGTGTATGTCATTGTTGCCAAGGCCCTTGAGTCGAAAATTACATTACGTGACCAGAAAAGTTACATTTTTGCTGCAAAAATGAAACTTTTTCAACTTCGTTTTTTAAATTAAATACACCAAAAACGTACAATCATAAAAAAAAGTAAATACGTTCAAGAAAAATCAAGCTTTAACCAGTAATTAATTAATTTAATTTTGTTTGTGCCATCTCTGTTTTTATATTTACAATATAGTTAAATTTAAAAAAATTTCAACGTCTTCACAAGTTATAAAATTTGCCTTAAAAACAAAAGTTACTTAAGTTAGATGTTAAGGTAGTTAGTGGAAAGGTATGGAAAATAAAATACTCGGAAAATAAAGCGAAAAGAAAACAAAGGAGGATGTATAACATAACTGAATTGGTGGGATTGCGCTAGTGCCAGCTGAAGCCAGCCACCTCAGACCGAGAACATTACAGCCTACTGACCTCCAAATTCAGAGAATGCCACTCCATGATATAATGTAAATCTGTGGATTAAGTTTGAAATATTATAAAGTTACTTACAATTTAAGGATCTACCTATTTGACATTTATTTGGTGTTGGAATTACCAAGCCTCATTTTAAGTCCCGCCTGTACATTGACACATATGTGTGTAGAGTCGGATTAAAATTAATTCCGTCATATAGAAGCGAAACATCTGATCTAAGATGAATAATACATGTTTACTCAGAGTTGATTAAACAGGCGCAATCATTTACAATGGTAACAAATGCCAATAAAAATTGTTGTGATGACCAGTTGGCGATATTATTTAATTATTATTTCATTCAATTAGTTAATTATATTATAATCTTGCGTTTTCTAAATATTATTTTCATAGTTATCTGTTAAACATGCGTTTCCATTAAAGTTATAATGTGAATTTGTGCTCTGCAAATGTATCATGTCATGATTTATTAATTATGAGCAACAATGCACAATGATGTGGTGCTTTACGGTAGTATTTTAACTTTTTAAAGCGGCTTTCATTTGGTGTTTTTTTTTAATATGCCTGGTGGTAAGCGCCACGTTTGTCAAAGTTGCAGTGTCACTCAGAAAGATCTGAGGCGCACCGTCACTGCGCTCGTCATCCTGTGACATAAGTTGAAAAGTCCCTTGTCACTGTGATTTCACCAGCGCCCTTACCCTTCGAAACCGAAACAATAATGCTGATATTACTTCTTGGCGGCAGAAATAAATAAAGTTGCAATACTCTCTTGGATGAACTCTTTCACATGGAACTCGTTGTGTGTATTCAGTTCTCAAAGTTTAAGTTTCAGATAATAATTATAACAAAAACACATCCATCAAATTGCCATTGAATAATCTCAGTACAGAGTACGAAAAAACCGACATCAAAAGTAC